GAAGATTTGTGCAGCAGATAACAGCTTTCGTTAGCCGAGCACCAGTAAAAAACGATAAGATGTGCAATCAAGTCAGATAATTTCCAGGGAGACCCTGACAAAGTACATTGTTAACAAGGGAGTTATTTGTCCACATTGTCAATAAGTCCTTTTCCCTCATTCGTTATACCCAGAAAGTGTATTTATAATTAAATTAATAAGTAAATATTGGGTGGATTGAGGAACCCATTGCTAACAATGTACCATGTCAAGTTGACCTCCACGATGATGATAAATGATGGTTCCCCCTGGAAACCATGTTAAATTCGTTGTAATTTGTCACGATGGGCTAACTGATCTGACATCATGTTCATCTGGTCATCCTCCACTGGTTCCACGCCAGCGTAAAACAGGTGGGTGCAACATTCCATTATAATCCATTAAAAATATATATTTTTTTTTTTTATTAGTGGATGGGAGATCAGTCCAATTCGCTTGGCGCGTGGTCCTCAAAGTTTTTGCTTGTTAAAATACTTGCGCGCTGTGAATGAACGTGGCACGAATGAGGGAACGGACTCATTTCACCAGCGGATCCGTCAATTACGACGACACACACACAAAAATGTCTTAAGCGACCATTATATACTTTATTTCCTTTGGCTTTTTGATGTTATAATAAAATAATTAGTGGTCGCCCAGTGGTCGAAGTTCGACCATAATTAATTTAAATTCTAAATTTGAATATTAAAGTTCTATTTTCAAAGACTGTATTTATATACGAATATGAATTTACTATTATATATGGTTATGTTTGAAATTCTGTAACACTATAAACAATCTATTCTTAATTAGACCAACGATAAACGAAAGAGTATATATGATTATGTGTATCAAGTACATAGTAATGTGTGTAAAGTTTTTTTTATTGATTGAATGCATTTTTATGCAAAATCATAAAATTGAATTCTGCACTCTTTTCTATATAAACTAAGAGTGTGCGAAATTTCATACACCTTCATCGGCGCAATTTTCGTAAAAAGGCTACAAACATTTCTATTTATCAGTATTTTTTTTGTTTTTCATCGTTCTGGCATATTTTCTATACATCTTATTATCTGTATTTACAAAAATTATGTATCTATGTATTTGTATCAGCTGTCTAGTACCCATAACACAAGTTTTGCTTATCTTATTGTTATTCTATTATTTATATATTATTATTATTACAATTATTTAGTAACTTTGTTCAAAGCTAGTAGACTATCACAACGTCCATTACTATATACAAGATATTATAATTCTTTCGTATACGCTAGATTCAGAAGTGAAGATTTTTAGGGGAAATTTATTAAGCTAAGAAGTTGTCAACATTTTTATAATTTAGTACTTTATATTTTAATTTATTTTTGTGTTTGTTTTTCGTAGGCTTTTCATGTTGAACTTCATTTTACTTCTTGTTATAATCATTTTATATTTGATACCAACTGAGCCCGCAACTTCTTACTTTTCAAACATTTTTTTATATTTGAGACAGAAAATTTATATATATTGTATTATTAGATGAAGCTTACGTTTAATCAATAATATCTTATTGTTGATTAAGCTTGGTATTGATAATAAACAATATATCATTATAAAACAACACAAAGATAGTTTAGGCCGTTTATGAGATTTGCGCATATAAATACAAAAACAAACAGTCAGTTTTTGCCTATCGTTGTTTTGAATTGTATTACTTTTGATAATGCGACCCCAATATATTTCTTATAATTATATTTCATGGACAGACATGATCTGATGATTTTTTATTATATGTATAGATAATATTTAACTAGAATATTCCTGACGGCCTAGCTCATTTACTTTTCCTCATAGAATTAATTTCAATTTTCCTGTCCTATTACCAAATGCAAAGTAAATTTCCTAAGGTTTTATGAATTTCGCCGTAGACGTGATTGAATTTTATTTTCTTTCAATAGCATCTAATTAAAATTATAGAATTCAATTAAATGGTAAATTAAAAGTAAATTATTTAATTAAAAATATTTTCAGGTAGTGTAGTCGGAGGAAAGTCATTTTCACTTTGTAACTAGTCGTCAGAGTTGATACCCCCTCCGATCGATCCCCCGTCCAAATCAAACGGGGATCGATATTACGACGGCCTGCCGAGGTTCGAACTCCTAGCGGTGCTCTTTAGGCTGAAATCGTATCTATCAGGCGGGAGTTGGCCTTCAGCCGCTCCATAAGTCCATCCGCAGGTTTAGAGTGCAATCTGCATTCGCTTCTTATCGTCCGGTGAAGCTATAATGGTCAGCTGCGGCCAACAGCATTAGAGTAATCCGAAAAGAAGAGTGGGTACCTCAGTCTCACCTACTACAGCCGCCAAGCAGCTTGCTTTGTAAGTTATTACGGTTTGAAAACTGATACGGACGTGATTCATACCTTAGTCTTCTGGAATGGCAACTCATGAGGATTACCATGCGTTTTACATGATGCGATGTCATAATTTCTTATATATAAATCATATCAAATCAAAAATCATTTATTAATGTAGGACATTTTAGCTGCTTATGAATGTCATTTTTTTTTATAAATATTGTTTTCCTACGTTATTCATTACTATAGTATAGGAGATGGATGCTACTTTTCACCAGGTAGGCCGTCAGCTTCCTTACAATTTCAAATACATAAAAAAACATATTTTCTGCTCGTTCGCTTTAGCAATTTTGTAAGATATTCATTTGAACTTAATTTTCACCTTAAGTAAAATGTTGGTAACTTCTGACAGTCGTTAGTTAAGCTAACTTGTTGTTAGAGGCTATTAATTATAGAAACATTTTACTTAACTAGATCGTCTGGTTTGGAAAAACAATATTTTACTTAAGTACTTACTTAAGTTATTTATCTTATTAAATTATGTAAACATTGGTTGTTTGCATTGGTATTAAGTATTTGGAACATTGCTTACACACTAATATTATAAATGCGATTTTATGTCTGTCTATATACTGAACTGGACGATAGGGAAAAAAAACTTTTTTTTAAACTAAGATTTATTTAGAGATTTTTATCATAATATGATAAAGCCAGTCCCATTAGGAAAAGATTAAAGTTAATAAGTGGCTAAAGTGTCATAGGCTAAAGTAACGTAAATAGTTATTAATGAAATGTGACGTTAATAATAAATTGTATGGTACGACCAATGTGTGTTGCCAGTGATGACTTAGGGCACAGAGACGTGATCGCTAACTATGGGCCTCATAAATAAGATCAGAGTCACTCAAAAGACAATGGAGAAGACTATGCTTGGAATTTCCCTGTGTGAACGTATCAGAAATGAGGAGAAGAAGAATCAGAGCGACAGACATAGGCCGAAGAATCGCGAAACTGAAGTAGCAATGGGCAGGGCAGTAACTCGTAGGACAGGTAGCCGTTGGGACAATGAAGTCTTTGAGTGTCGACCGCGGATCGGAAGACGCAGCGTGGGAAGGCATCCGATGATCTGCCCAAGATCGCTGGAAAGCGATGGATGCAACACAGAACCGATCGCCGTGGGGCTTTTGTTCTACAGTGGACGTCTTCCGGTGTGAAATGATGATGATGATGAATAATTGTATGACGAGAATATACATAAGGTATATTTTACTTCATAAAACAGATATAATAGAAATAGATAGAATAGAAATAGAAATATTCTTTATTCAAATAAACTTAATCTAAGCACTTTTAAATAGTCAAGTTTTTTTACTCTACCGCTTATTCGGAATGCAGATTCATCACAAGAAGAATAAGCAAGAAACTTTTGTATTGCTCTTTTAAATAAATATAGAATTACTTAATCTGTTCAATCAGATAACATTGTCAGCGCTATGAATTTTAAGTTACATATTTTCTACAAAAACATTATTATCATTTATAAATTCTTCAATTTTATAATAAGCTTTTTTACAAAGAAAATATTTTATGACACATTTGAATTTTGTTTTCTCGAAAATTGACTAAAGACTCTGGGAGTAATCGCGGTATAACTAACATTAACAAAGCTAATTTAAAATAATATAAATATACATAGTATTAATTACAAAAAACAGGAAGCCCCAAGCAGTGTGTTACCGTCAACAGCAACAGTTCGCCATCTTGCACCGCTAAAGCAGATTTCAGCGACTACAACGCCATCTGGTTTGAGTGAGATAACCACCACAATATATTATTATTTAGTAAATATTATTTATGCTTATAAACTGTAAAATAAAGATATAAATAGTAAAGATTAAATCTAATTATAATTATGACATAAAATCCAGAAGTTTGATATTGATCCTGATTTGACCATAACAGTCCCACCTACCTACTGACTAAAAAAGAATTACCATATTGTGTGCACAGACCAGTTCGGCTTACATGGTCGAAGTGAAAAATACATGTAAGTGAAAGAAGAAATTAATAGTCCCTCGTTGTTGCAGCCGCCCCATAAGAAGTGTTAATTTTTTTTGTTTTTTAGTTCCATATATTTCTATTTTAGTCAGAATGATAGTTCTTTATTTTACGTTCTTTATTTTCAACTCAAACTATAACTTTGATAATCCAACCGTATGATGTGGGTTTACTTATGAAGTATGTAGGTTGGAATCTTAAATATAATTTTTAATTGGCCTCCCAGACAGGCGATTGGATGATTTAATAAAAAGGCTGGAGTGATCACATATTTACCATATTTAGGGTTGTCACAAATGCACTTTTCAATATATTTTGCTATACAATATCTAACTTAACTTATCTTATATACAGAAACTTAATTTACATATGCAACTAAAAAAAGACACCATATATAAATATATATATTATATTGTATAATACGATGGTATGTAGGTACATTATTTTGTTACAAATTTAATACCAAATAAGCACGAAATCTTTTGCTTAAAAAAATACATAAAAATTCGTTAATAATTAGCAATGCTTTTGGGTAACACATAGGCGCATACATAATAAGAAATCTTTTTGGAGTAGATTTAATTTTTTTACCTGGAAATATAAAAAATATGATGGTAAGTTATAACATTTGCTGATAACCCTAACAAAACTGGTTGATTTTATAAATCAAAAGAGCAGGTGTACAGATCCCGTTCGAGAATTATCTTGAGATACGTATGCAATATTAAACAGGATTGTCTGTCTGTGAGTTCGGGAATAAATGATTTTTAGATATGTTAGTTATTTTATATCAAGTGTGGTACATCGTGGGCGTCAGTCGTCAGTGTAATATCCAAAGATTTAATAATAATATGCCTGGACCATTCACACAACATTACCTAGTCCCAAGGTAGGCAGAGCTTGTGTTATACCCATAACTAGGACCATGATATAAAAACAATGATATATCTTTTAAATAATATAGAAATCACCCAGAACCACGCAAACAATCATTCATGAATAGAAATGTTTGTACCGTGCGCGGAATCGAGCCCGCGAGTATCAGAAGAAAAGTCCTATTTTTTTTTTTTTTTTTTATTGGGTTGTTTGGGCTATTGTCAGATGTGTAGCACCTGTAGCACTGCGACCTACATAGATCTATTGTGCTCGCCCTTTTCAGAGTTCGCTACCTAGACCCGTCAGGGACAAGAATTGAAGGATATTCTTAGGAGCGATCGTTTTTATCTCCTCGGGAAAGAGTGTAAACTTTCCAAAGGAGATATTTCGTTTATGCATGAGTGGGCTACAACCACATAGGATGTGAAGCGGCGTTTCCTCTTCAGTTTGGCAGAATCTGCAGATACTTGTCGTGCATAGGCCTAGCTTAGCCATATGCTTGTTCAATTTGCAGTGTCCTGTGAGGGCCCTAGTCATCATGCATATGTTGTTTTTACTCAATTGTAGTAATCTATTGGAGTATTTGGTCGAGAAGCCCGATATAAGGTCTTTTGAATGTATTAATCCTGGCATTTCTTGCCAGTGATTCAGTGCTTCTCGTTTGGTTATTAATTTGAGATGTCCCAGTTTTAGGCAACGAGGCACACCACAGAAGGGTTCGGGGCCCAGTTGGACGGTTTTTGCCCCTAACTTTGCCAGATGGTCGGCATTCTCATTGCCTTCAATATTTGAATGCCCGGGGACCCATCTCAGTATAATATTATTTCTGCTTCCTACTTCATTTAGTAGCAGGATACAGTTTCTAATAAGTTTAGAACGGATTTCGTACGAGTTAAGTGCTAGTAGAGCAGCTTGACTGTCCGAATAAATGTATATGTTCTGATTGATGTAGTTGAGGCTTAGGATTACTTCCAGACATCTAATTAAGGCGTAAGTCTCTGCCTGAAAGATTGAGGCGTATTTTCCTAAGCCTATATAGTTGCAGATTTTGGGTTTTACACCACATATTCCACATCCTACATCATCTCCTATTTTGGACCCGTCTGTAAACCAGACTAGGTCATGCTCTGAGTGAGACGGTGTATGGTTATTTTGCCATTCGTCTCTTCCAGATATTTCGATTTTGTAATATTGTACAAAGTTACACTCTGGTGCCATATTGTCTTCAGGCATTCCCAGAATAGGATCACTCATAATCGAGTCTTGTATAGTTTTTATGGCCAGGGAATGCCAAGATATCCTCCTTTGGGAACTTATTCTGAGCATATTGGCTTTCGCCTTTTCCTGTATGAATAGAGGAAGGGGCGTCAAGTCCAATAATGCGTCTAGAGCTGCTCCCGGCGTGGTGCTCATGGCTCCTGTAATAATCAGACAAGCAATTCTCTGTAGGCTGTTTAGCTTGGTGGCAGCTGTGGATTGGAGGGTTTTCCTCCACCAGATTGCGCAGGCATAGGTGGTAAGTGGTCTCACCACTGCTGTATAAAGCCATAGGGCAATTTTGGGGTTGATTCCCCATCTGGGCCCCGCTACCCGTCGGCTTATACCTAGGGATGTTTTCGCCTTTTGAGTTATGTTGTCTATGTGTGTGTTCCATGTCAGTTTTTGGTCGAAGGTTACGCCCAGGTACTTGACTTCTTTGGAGCACTCTAATATTCTTCCATTTACTTTAGGCATGACAAGTTTGTCAAGTTTCTTCCTTTTTGTAAACGGAACAATTACTGTTTTATCAGGATTTACTGATAATTCATTTTCCTTACACCATTTAACTATGATGTTTAGTGCTCTTTGGATGCGGTCTGATATTGTTGTTGCACAGAACCCTCTGACCATGACTACTAAATCGTCTGCGTAGCCTTGTACCTCAAATTGGTTTTTGGTCATAACATCTAAGAGCTGGTCTACCGTTAGTAGCCACAGCAGTGGCGATAAAACGCCTCCTTGAGGGCATCCTTTGGTAGGTCGGATTTCTAACGTACTGTTGTGAAGAGTAGTTTTAATGGTTCGATTTGAGAGCATTGCTTTGATCCATTGAGTGGTGGTTTCATCCACTTTCTTGCGGATGAGTCCCTGTGAGATGGTCTCTATGGGCGTGTTATCAAAAGCACCCTCAATATCGAGAAATGCACATAGAGCTATTTGTTTGTCCTCAAAGGCCTTCTCGACCTTGTCGGTGAGTTCGAGCAAGGCGGTCTCTGTGGAATGTCCCTTGCGGTAGGCATGTTGATTCCTGTGCAGGGGAGCATTTTCGAGGATTGTAGCTCTAATGTGTTGGTCCAGAACCTTTTCCATGGTTTTTATTATGAAAGAGGTTAGGCTTATAGGTCTGTGAGACTTTGGCTGCGAGTAGTCTCTTCGACCGGTTTTCGGTACGTAGGTAACTTTGACCTTCGTTAATGGTTCTGGTATAAAACCCCAGGCAAAGCTGGCTCTAAATATTCTTACCAGATAGGGAGATAGGATGTCAAGCCCTTGTTGTAACAGGGCTGGGAAAATTCCATCTTCTCCCGATGATTTATATGGCTTGAAAGATTTTATAGCCCATATAATTTGTTTTGGTCGAAAAATCCTCGCAGCTCTGTTCCACGCCTCATGGTTGGGCTTTTGTAGATGTGAGCTTGGAGGGTTCTCCTTATCTCTTGAGATATGAACCGAGCCAGGGAAGTGGGTTGTAGATAGCAGCTGTAGAGTTTCTTCCTCTGATGTCGTATAGGTACCATTGGGCCTTTTCATAAGTCCAATTTGGTTATTTGGCGCCTTGGCAAGCATTTTGTGTAATCTGGATCCTTGGGGAGTCTGAGTTATCTCCTCGCAGAAAGCACGCCATGATGCTCTTTTGGCTTTCCTAATTTCGCAGTAGTATTCCGTTTGGGCTTTACTATATTGGGCCCATTCGAAAGGTCCCTTTTTAGCCCTGTTGGATAATTTGCGAGTTTTCTTCCTCAGCTTTTCTAGACTCTTATTCCACCAGGGTGTTTTACATTTGGCGGTTTTGGTTTTGATGGGACAGTTGTTCTGGTAGGCACTTATTATGCCACTTAGAAGTATGTCCACAGCGAGTTCTAGTTCTAGAGGAGATTTGATACTCTTCGGAAGGTCCGCAATTAGGCTTGTAAGACTGTCTCTGTATTTAGGCCAATCTGTAGCCTTTGGGTTTCTGTAGAGTATGGGGTTTGAGTCTGTTGCAGCCTCAATTGTGAATCTGATGTGCTTGTGATCAGACATGGAGTTCTCATTGCTGACATGCCAATGAGTGATATATTCGGCCAGTTTGTCGGTCGCGAGTGTTATATCTAGTACCTCTTGTCTTGTGGCAGTGACGAACGTCGGTGTGCACCCTGTATTTAGGATTTGAAGACAGTTGGTTAGTATAAAATCATCAAGTGACTTACCTCTGGTGTTGATGTCAGAGCTTCCCCAGTTTGTGTGATGGGCGTTTGCATCGCAGCCCACGAGGAGTTCGGCCTTGTGCTTACGGGCGTATTCCACCACAGGCTGTAGGCCGGTTTTCGGGTCTTTGATGATTTTGTTGTTTTCATCATGTCCAGGTAGGTATGCAGAGCAGACCAGTACTTTTGACCCTGTGCATCCAGGGAAATTGACGAAGGCTGTCACTAGGTCATCTGTACATAGTTCTGGAACAGTCAGAAAATCTAGTTTCTTATTAAAAAGAATGCATGCTCTAGGTTTAGTGCCAGTGGTATTAAAAAGAATATTACCTGAGGCATTGAGGCCTAAAGGCGTGGCTTTGTTGAGCCATGGCTCTTGTATCAGAGCAAGGTCCAGGTCGTTTTTGCGGAAGAGGTTTTCTATGACCGCTGTTGCTGCCATAGCATGATGTAAGTTGACCTGGACAATGTTGGCTCTGATACATTGCTTGCGTGTGGGCGTGTTAGCAGCTTCCTTTCGCCTTCCCTGTGGGACGTGGGCGTCCCTTTGGGTTGCGATTGGAAGCTGTGGCGCTCCTGCCGCGATCTTTCCGTCCCGTCTTAAAACTGGGGATCCTCGTCTGCGAGGTCCCCTTTGGCTGGGGAAAGCTGCCTCTGGCGGGTTTGGCGTTGGTGTCTACGCCCTTCGCCGCTTCGGATGGTGTGGGTATTCTTCCTTATAGGTTGCAGTTTCCTCCTTTGCGTTTACGTTCGTCCCTGTAGTCGTTACGCGCTGCTTGGGTGCAGGCGTTCGCAACTGGTGGGCCGTATTCGTAGAGCGCTTAGTTGAGCTACTAGTGACACTTGTTGGTGCAAACACCATTGGGCTTGAAGAGCCACCTGGTGTCGCAAGTGCCTGGTATGTGACTCTAGGTGTCTGAGGTACAGTAGGCGCTGGTGACTTTGCAGTCTCCGCTGCCTGGGTACCTTTCCCGGTGGGCGTCGGCTGCGCCACGCGAGGCGCTTTGTGCGTATGCTCCTTTGGGGACACCTCCTCTGACCGTGGGCGCTTGATGGATCTTACCTCTGAGGGCTGGTCTCGCATTGGCTTCCGGCAGAGTTCTAAAGCTTCATCAGCCTTGATGTTGGCGGCTATTAACAGTTTTAGGCGTTTCCGCGCTGCTCCTGTTAACCTCCTTCGTTTTGGTTTTGGCTTTGAGTCCTTTTTGGGCGTTAGACCTAGGTCATCCGTCCCTGTAGGCTCAACAACCATCTCCAAACAGTTTCCGTCATCGGATGAAAGTTCTTGGCGTTCATTTTCGTCCAAGGTACTTCCTTCAAGCAGTTTCTCAATGTCATCGATGATGTCCATATTGTGAGAATATTTAAAAGTCGTCCACTCGATGTCCCACCCTCCTCGGAGCCCGCAAATGGGGATGCCGCAATGGCACCAGGATCTTCTCGAGTGGATCTAGGAGCAGAAAGGTGGCGTCTTTGCGCGACATCGGGAGTTCGGACAACTGCGGCTAGAGAACTTCCACAGTGCCTTACCCCGTCAGCATGGCCGACTACCTTCTCCGAAGAGACCTTCCCACTCCTCGCCGTGCTCCTGTGACGGTAAAGCACTGGACCATTTCCCGAGCAGTGGCTGGCTGCTCAGGCGACCGTTTCGCCAGAAATATGGGCCAAAGGAGGCGTGTTGTCGCCCGGAGGTAACTGCTCCGACCTCCGATTGACTCAACCTCCCAGGATCCCGTCTTCCCCGCTTACGGCGCTCAACTGCGCAGGCCTTAGCGCAGGTAGGTGCAGGAAGCTATTTAAATTTAATAGTATATAGGTAAGTATATATAAGAAGGCTATAATTAGTTCTGGTGCTTGCCCAGGCACATTTTATTTATAAATACACTATTGATACAATATATATACATATGTGCTGCAGACTCACCTACTAGGTGCAGCTGATTGAAATAAATATGATAGTTTGAAAGAGAAGAAGGATATATTAATATAAATATGACACTACTTGTAAGTTATTTTATAATATACATACATATACTGTATACAAAGACCCTCGCTATTTATCCGGGCTTGGGACCGGCAACTTTGGAGGAGCGGATTTTGTGGTCCTCTCCAGCCGAAAGCAGGCTAGGTTTAAAAAATGTGGAACGCTTCACGATTTTGCGTGTCATCCTTGCGCAGGGTCTTTTCCTTGCAAAAGTCCTATACCGCTAGATCACCGAGGCCGTTGAAGTAAGAATATTTATAATCTGTTTATTTTCTATAACCTTTTGCATTTCTACTTTGTTTCTTATTATTATTATTAAAAAAAAACATATAGGTCCTATTCAGTTAGTGCTGCTAAGGGAATTTAATCACTGATAAAGTGATATAGTTACTAGTTTTAAGATACAATGGGACTGGTATGTACTTTAATTCTTAATTCTTACAAAGTACTAAACAAAAAACAGAAACCATACATACACAATTTACGCTTTTCTGAACCATTCGGTACACTACAGTAAAACAATATATTAACAGATGTAAATATAAAATGGAATATCGTGATCTGTCATGTAGAACGGACGCTATTATTTATGAAAGCATTTCAAATACATTATTCGGTATAGTTTTGATTTGCAAGTAACAAATGGTGCGCAAAATAATTGTATTTGTCGAAGTTCATGATGCCAGTGTAATCAATACCGGGCCTGAAAGCGGAAATACCACAAAAGTATTGAATTCCAGTTTTATTTTCAAACGATCCGCTCTAGTCTGCGCTTGTTTGCAAAAATCTCGACGTAATGAACCAGATATAAAATCCTTTTCTAAGTTCCCACGGTTTTGCGAGAGCTGTTTTTTTATGGATGATAATGGAATGGGGCACCCGTGTGCGCTAACGGTATACGCTGGTGCATCAATGGAGGATGACGAGATGACCATGAGGTCAGACCAGTTAGCCCCGTGACATATTCATCAGGAATTTATCACGATGGTTTCCAGGGGAACCGCGTAGAGTTCAACCTGGTGACTGAACCTGACTACATTGCTAGCAATATTCCATATATTGCTAGCAATGAAGTCTAATCAGTTCACATTACTCCCCCCTGACATCCCCTTTCCCAAGAGAGAGGTGTTATAAGTTTGACGTGTCTGTCTCTGTCTGTGGCATAACTTCTAAACGAATGCACAGATTTCGATGCATTTTGTTTTAAAACTGGCCTGATCGAGATATTCTTAGATACAATCTATGAAGATCCATTCAAACATTTCAAGTTCATCACTCTTTTGTTATCTGTGTACACAAAACTGAAGGATGATGAAACTTAGTGATTGATAATAATTATTTTTGTATACTGTTTGTATGTATTGCATACAAAAAGAAGGTATATTGTATGAAATACACACATAAGGAAACGTTAAATTTGAACAGCATCTACTTTTTGACATGTTCATTCATAATTTAAGAGCCACGCTCTTCTTGGTGGAACTCTTGCCACTTCGCACTTTTTAATATATATTAAAATAAAATAATAACAACCTCTAGCGGTTTACCACATCGCCTTACTTCCAATGGTAGTAGGTTCTATTCCCCGCACAATACCAACCTTTATATGTATTTGTGTTGGTAATGACTATGATTGTTTGTACCTTTCTGGGTGTTTTGTATATTATGTATTTATCACCAAAATGTATCTATGTATTTATATCAGTTGTTTTGTACCTATAACAGAAGCTTTGTTTAGCTTGGGACTACATAGCGCTGTGTGAATTGTCCTGTGATATTATTATACAAGCGTCCCAATTGACAAAGAGTTGAACACATCTGCAATGGGCTTGAAATTTTAATCATACACGCGTGTTATCGATAGATAGGGTAGTTAAATATTCCTTTTATTAATTCTAGCGTTCGTTTTCATTTGATGTTTGCTTTACTTATAGCTCCGTCTAGCGTGCAAATTGAAATGAATTTATTTCACAAAATATTATTTTGTAAAACTAATAACACAGGATAGATCCCAGTGGTTCGTAGGTTTGCAACTTTCATAGTACGGTCGCGAGTTGAGACCCGCGGGATTTTTGTGGCAAATGAATTTAAAAAACTAAATATAAACAAAACTTTGTTACGTATAGAATAATTAATTAGCAACTTTTATAAAATTACACATTGCAAACTTGATACTAATAATATATATAATAATAGATAATGGATGATTAAAATATATATTTATTTTTTTAACTAATATATAACAAATTTTCAACTCATAACCTGACGAAGTCGAGCTAAAAAACTTAAACTCGAGCGTGTGACTTTAGCCCTTGTTTGTCAAAAAAAAATTGTAATAAAAAAATAAAGGAAGATATAAAGAGATCTGTTGTTTCCTGCAATTTATTGTCCAATAATAAATATGAGTGTAGATCTCTCTAATAAATTACACATCTCGTTAGTAAGTAATTAATATTCGTTCATTAAACCATTCCACTGTCTACGATTAAGAGGCTTTGCTTAACTCTTGAAATGAGCCGACTCAATCGAAACAAAACATCGATAAAGGAGAAATAAATAAGTAAAAACAAGTAGAAAACAGGTTGCTGGCGCCTCTTCATTGACGTGAGAGAAGTTAAAAAAATAAATCAATGAATTCCGTACGGCTATTGTAAAATGTATTTTATGAAGTAGTTCGTAGAAGTTAAAATTGATTGCTGTACTGATGTCACTTGAGACAATAAAAGTCAAGTCCCTTTTGAATCGCCGCCGTGTCGGATACGAAATGTCAGGAATTTCCGAACACAATTCAAAGCAATAATTTAATTGTCAATGCATTTTTTACCGACGAACTAGTGATTAAGGTGCAATTTCGTTCGATGTTTTTGCGTTTATTACGACCATCTAGAGATTGTTCGGGGAGGTACCGTTTTAACAAGGATCCTGTATGGACAGTTAAATACTATTGGCTTCTGTTGTAATAAAAAATAAATGCTCCACGGAGGCGATAAATGGTCGCCTTGAATGGGAAATGAAAGTAAAACTGAAGGGCGTAAAGATAAAATTTACGATATGATACCTTAATTAAGTTATAAGAGGTTATAAAAGTGCGCGCTAGTTTCTTGATCCTAATGGGAATCTAGAAGGACATAATAACATTGTCAATTTGCAGAATTATATCAAAACAAATTACTCATTCACCATTGTTACAGATTCCCCGCTTTTATGTTGTACCCTTTCAAGTTGCTCAACTGTGGGACAACATCCTTTGCAGATTTAGAAAAGAACCACTATGGGTACTTATTTATCGTTATATATTAAAAATTCCATGGTATGTAAAAATATTTTATACTAGCCGCGCAACTTCGTCTGCATCACACTTATTATATTTTCCCGAATTTATATATCGTTTTAAATTATAACCTATGTGTTTTTCTGATGTATAGGTAAGCTATAATTCTGTAAAGTTTCATTAAAAT